GCGTCGATGAAGTGTTTAAGTCTCCGTGAGCAATCAATCCATGCAACCACGTATCCTCGTCCCAGCTTCAGCGGCGTGGAGCACAGACATTGGAGTTGAGTTGGGAAGGAAATGAGCAACACAGGGAGCATAGACAAAGGAGATGATCAGAGGACGTGTTGAGAGGACGTGAACAAAGAAATATGGATCCAGCCACAGAAGATTTTCTGCAAACATCCCACTCTCCTTCGATCCCGACTTAAAGATAGTGTTCGTTCCGGAGAAACCTCCCCCAATTCAGTCACCTGATGCTCCATCTTGGCAGTCACTGCGTAAAGGGGGGTGAAAATTGGACCTTGATTAGGGACGTATTCAGACCTCAAATAACCGGGTATCTGGAGTTGTCCGATTAGCTCTGAATTGCGTTCCTATGTAAAGTTTGAATATGCGTGTATGAAGGCCTGTAGAATATGAACGTATGCAGTCTTTCTTTATGTACGCAAATTAGGTGAGATTGTTACATAATCGGCGTGTAAATACACATGTATTCGGGCCCCTCCGTTCCCCACGATCCCACCAGCCATGAATCTGTCCAGTCTCGCTGCATGCCCCGATGAGATCACAGATGTCTTAACGCGCCAATTCTGGGCGTCTTGGACAGATGAAAATAGATTAGCTTACATTAAAGTGCACCATGCTGATGTTTGGACGCGTTTCAACTCCGATGCATCCACCATACACCCCCTGATTCCAATTGATCCCGCGCTTATTCAACTTTCTACCGGTTCTATGGAATCTAATGGGGTGGAAAACACGTCCAGAGAGACCGAAAATGTGTTAAGGGCTTCTGTGAATGCTGTTAGAGGACGCAAGCGCCGTACCCTTGCATCAGCCCCCAAGACAATTGCCAAGAAGCTGGCGCGGGATCGAACACAATCAGAGAAGAAGGTTGTGAGCAAAGCAAAGGTATGTATTAATATTGGAACTCAACTTAAAATAGCCATGTTGGTTTGAATCTCTGCTAGCGAGAAATGGAGAAAAGAATCTTTGCAATAACGGGAATGAGCGGTGCAAAGGGACCATGGCCACCTCACAACTCCGAACGAAAAGATGAGAAGTCAGGACTCACTTTCCTGAACCCTGACTTCCGAGTCGGTGTGAAGATGACTGACCCCGCTAATCGGCTGATATGGGAACAAGCAGCTGTGCAGGTTCATGAAGCTATTTGTGTACGTACCTTGAAGGCAATACTGGCATGGTAGACTGCAAATTACTTTCTAGGCTCCTGACAAAAAGCCCTGTTTCATATAAAGCTATAAGATCGTCAACAACCAAAGCCATGAGATGTTGTAGTTGTTCCGTTGAAGGCTCTTGTGGTCCAGGTGTCATTCCGGCATGTAGGAGATTACTCGTACGATAGCTAGAATTTCAAGAAATCATGAGTCAATCAAACAAATTTATCCGACTCGCATGCACACCGAAGTTCCGGGGGGAGATTTGCACAACAAAATGATAAAACACCACTTGAATGAGTCGGTGCAAGACACTACGACGGCATGAAAACCTTTTGAGAAAATGATTAGGAAGAATACTGTCACAAGAATATGAAAGACGAACCAATCTAGACTTAATGTCACTCCTAAACGAAGCTCACCTGTATCCTTGTTGATACGGAAAAACTCCTTCCCATCCTTGTCCTTCATCTCTTTCCAAACTCTGCCATCCATGATACTCGTATATGCACCCATATTTCGATGAGTAGACCCCCACTGTTCGACCTCAGCTTCTATGTCGCTTCGTGATAGAAACCCTGCGAGGAGTGCTGAGAGGGGTGCCACAGGCATAACAACCTTCGGTTTTGCTACCTTCTGCCCTTTCCCCCATATCAACCCCTGGAACGCGTCCACAAAAGAACTCCGATAAAGCGGAATTTCGCAGTGTGGACAGTGGCGAACATTTTCACCATGAGGGAACAGTTGCCAACATCTCTCACAAAGTACAAAGATTTTAGCGGGAAGAGACATGCGCAATCGGTTCAGAACTGTTTTGAGAGTTACCGGGAAATCATCAAAGCATTTGATGATACGGAGTTCAATCAGAATCTTCCGAAAGACCCATAGCAGCAGGTTGCATGCACGGACTCCAACGTGGTGGTGAAGATTGAGAAAACAAACAAGAAGAAGAAGGACGCGGATGATCCAAGAATCAGAGAGGCTCATATATCTCTCGTTGGGTTGAGACACAGCATCGTGACTAGCTTCGGTGGACATGTCATATAAATGAACACTTGAAGAAGTAGCCGTCGAAAACTGTACAGGAGGGGGCCTAGGGGCACTTCCATCGTGAGTTTGAGGGGCCGGAATAGGTGCTCCAGTCAAGCTTGTAGGCTGAAAACTGATCAAGTGGGGCACTTCGGGAGTATCAACATTCGAAGGGGTGATGAAGAGGTCGCTATGATCGCTATCCTCATCAACGATATCATTGCTAGGAAAGGGGATGTTGGTATTAGGTGTGCTATTGGAAGCCACAGTGAAGAAGCTAGTGGGTATTCCGTGAGCCAATTCTACAAGATCACAGAGAATGGTAGACCTCATGTGACATACCTTACATGGGGACATCGAGAGGACGAAGTGGAACTCCAGGAGGTTCCCCGTACTCGTTGTTGTCGAACATTTCAATATCTGGTGGCAGAGCACGGAAGTATCCAGGTTTGGGACCTGTGCCGGTGCTCGAAGCAGAAGGCTCACTGGCAGAGGAGCTGCCCGCTTGTGCAAGAAATAGCACGCCAAAGTCATTAAGCGATGCCTTTTTAGTATGACTGAGACGCACCATGAATATCCAAATTCGTTAACATTTTACGCTGTTTTCCTGTCCCAGCGGCAGCCAATATTCGTGTACGAGCCCTAGACGAGCCCCTTGATACATTTTTGGCATTCCTCAAGTGTGAGTCTCGAGTCGTTGGAGGGACCCATGTCCCTGGAATTGACCCTTGCTTTGTACATACGTTGCACTCACAAAAGACGTCTCCAGCAGTTCTCGGCATCACATGATACACAGTGCCCGATGGTGGACACAAAAATCAAACAGATAGACACAAGCCAGCTGCCGTTTGGTTGTTGCAGTGGTTGGCTTAAAACCTAAGAGGTAACTTCCCGAAATGAACTAAGGTGATGCGCAAAGCTGTGTAGCATGACGCTTCTGATTTTCGCATATCTAGTTTCGTTCGTGCAGCTCCAATTACGGATGAATCCAAAATGCTCAAATATTTACATATCAGAATCGGTTCAAATATCTCCGAGTACATCCAAACAGGTACCTACTGTGGATCCAAAATTTTGACCCCTTTACGCAGTGAGTCGGAGTCGGATTACTTACCCGGCTTTAGGTAGCGGCTATTACTAACACACACCACCCTGGCTGGCGCTTGCCGGCACGGCAAGAAATTATATGCGGAGGGCTTTCTTGAAATTCCACCCTACCTTCCCCAGTGCAGCCAAAATGCCCACGACAGACCAGGTCCGCGCATGTGTTGAGTCCATGCGAAGTCGATCATCGATCCCTGCCCGAGATACTCAGTCAAAGCAGGGCGGCTCGCGACTCAGAAGCAACCAATTACTACAACCAGTCTTCTGGTAATCCTGTTTCTACAGTTCCGAAGCGAAAGGCTCTGTTTGACGATCGGCCAGTTGAAATTATGTTGAATATTCTTTTTCTCCAACCTCACAGACAGTCTGACTCTCTGTCAGCAACAATGCCCTCACCAACGTTAGCTTTCGTTGTCGTGTTGCTCCTCTAGGAACTTACATTCATAATAAAGCAAGATATACCAACCTTGATAAGCAAATATCGGCTTCGCAATTATACGTAAAGCAACAGAAAGTAGGCAACAAATCCGGTCCGAGTAAGCAAATCGATGAACACCATACGAATGTGGCCACACTGCTGCAAGCCATCAGACTTACTCATCTAACACCTCTGCGGACAGCTCCTGGACGATCAAAAACATGCAGCAAAACCCTCAACAGCAGTCTAGCCCATCCCCAACCGCACCCTTGAACCAGCCTCACGGGACCGCCGCTAACAAAAGAAAACCCCCAGACAGGGACTCCACTAGCCCAGAACCACCCACCGCACCCAGAACGCCCACGAAGAAAAGAAGACTGAAACCTGCCCACCGCCCCCAGACCTCTCAATCGCACCTTCCTGAAATACTCAACACGTCCTTCTCACAGCACTTCGGCCAGGAAAACGACGCCTTCACCTTCACGAACCTCACCGAAACCCGTGAACGGAGCCCCTCCCCCTCTCCCAGTGGCACCCGGCCTCAGAGTGCAGGGTACAATGTGCCCGACCCCCGCATGGCCCCCCTCAATCTCGGTACGGACTCTTCTCAGAACGACTCTACCTTCTTCGGAAAAATATGCAAACACCTCGTATCCGTCTGCGACCTCATCAGCGTAGACTATCGCCTCTCAGACACCCACATAAAAGCTGGAATTCCCAAACACGTCAAAACCCTGTTAGCCACTATTATAGGGGAACTCAGCATTGATGCCCGGGACATCTTAGCCGAAGGCCTCCTCCCCTCTCAGCCCCCCATCAATACAGAACAACGACAAACCCTGGAAGATGCCCTCGCAGTTGCTAGAACCTTAGCTGACACCAACGCAAACTTGGCAAAACAACTTGAACTCTCCAACCTAGCAAATACCAACCGCCTGACCACCTCATTGACCGGAAACCTGCCTCCGGCCCTCGGCCAAGCAAACTCATATGCCCAAGCCGTGAAAACCAACTCGGGCTATGCCCAACCAAGAAGAGCAACCAAGAAGCTCATCCAACCCCCCCGCGAGCCATCACTCCCCACGCAGAGAAACCACCCAGCCCGTCTGATAATCCGGTCGACAAATAAAATCCCGCTTGACCAACGCAAGTTTGGACCGGAAAAAACCAAGGCCGTCAATGAAGCCCTACGTCAGGACGGACTGGACCCCAACCTCAGTGTCATGGACATCTCCATGTCCGCAGCTGACAATATTATAGTTACAGGGGCTGGTTCGACTCTAGCGTCTAATCTGATGGGACACACCAAAGCGATCATGTCCGTTCTCGACCCGAATAACACAGTGGAACACTATGTAGGCCTCCCAGACAAACAGCTCTTCAAGGTCAAGCTGGACAACGTCCCAATGCGATCAACCACAAATGGATCTACCCGGACCCATACCCCCGAAGAGATACTGACCACCCTCCGCAACAATTACACAGACTGGGACAACCTCTACTCCCCTGAAAGAGCACCAACTTGGCTAGTCAGATCCCGGTACAAGGACAGCTCCACCCTGATCTTCATGTTCGATTCACATGAAAAAGCACAACGACTACTGGATGCCGACAGCTTCCTCTGCCTAGGCAACCGCTGCACAACGTCAGCCTTCGAAGAAAGAAGAAGGGCCTTCTATTGCGGCCTTTGCAGATCCCTAAACCATAGAACGACGGCTTGCCCTACACCCAAATGCCTCAAATGCGCCAGCGAGGAACACACCACTGGGGCCCACCCAGACAATGCACCAGCCAAGTGCATCAACTGCGGACAAACACATGAGTACTATGACAGGAACTGTATGGTCTACAGGAAGAAGCTTGGACTTGCCCCCCCTAAACTAACTATTAGAGTCCCAGGCCGATTCCAATCGACCGGCCTCGGGCCCTCAGCAACCTCCCCTGCCCCTCAACCCCCTCTCCCCCCTCATGCAAGGCCACAGGGAATCCCCGACATGGAAATAGACGGTAGTGCTCCAATCATCAACCAAGGTGCGCCCCAATGAATGGCAATACTAACCAAGTCAGGATCTTCAGCCTCGACGTGGCCAGATCACCTGTCATCCGCACAACAGCCCTTCATGTTGCAGCCACCCACCCCCTCTCCCCCTTTGACATCATCCTCATCCAAGAACCGTGGTGGGGCCGCCCCAACAACACCTGGATCTCCTGCGACCTCACCGGCTGGACGCCAATCCTCCCTGTAGCCAAAGGAATCAAAGAAGGAGACAGACCAAGAGTACTTGCCTATTTAAGACAAGACTCAGATATCTCGGTCACCACTAGAACAGATATCCTCGAACACCTTGATATCCAAATCCTGGACATATTCACCCGACACACAGAAGATACCATACAGATTTACAACATATACAACCAATCTGTACAAAATACCAACTCACACTCTATTGATGCGCTCTGCGCTACTTGCATTGACCCA